AGAAAGTTTTTAACCATAACTTTTATTTTGAAAAAAATAAATAAATAAATAAGTGAACTAGTTTGTATCTTAAACATATACCGCCTTCCACCTGCTTTAGGGAAAAAATATGAGAGGAGGAAACCCTCGGCAAATGATAAAGCTATAAGGGTAGTAGGCAAATTTCACTAATAAGTGAAAGTGATGGCAAATGAAAGACTAGAGGAGATGAGATTCGACGAAAAATGTAACCACAAGGTAGGGTGGGGTTTGCAATGATCAAAAAGGACGCCAACGAGAGAAACTTGGATGCAGAGAAAAGACGAGAACGAAAGAGAATTTGTAAAGAATTAGAAATGAAGAATTCGTGGAAGCAAAGAGCGAAAGGGTAACTTAACTAAAAAATAAAGAAAAATGCATCATAATGTTAAGATTTTATTTCCAACCAAAATAGGATTTTACATTAATCAATACTAATTTATATATATAGACAAAAAAAAGAGGCAGTGGCACTGATACTATGTAAGTTGTGAGACCAGCTCCAATTTCGCTGTCTCCACTTAATGCAAAGTATATTCTCTATGCACTATGCTTTGTTTTTTTCTCGATTCTATCTCTGAGATTTCTCCCAATGGAGATACGTAGTTGTCTTTCTAATCCAAGAAACTGGGTTTAGCTATTGCTGCAGAGAATTGAACTCCCTAAACTTAACTGGAACTCTCCCTTATGCCTATAGATTTTTTGCATCACGATCGTAAATTATGATTTACAACTATTATTGATGTCGACGAATGTAAATTGGTATTTGGCTGGAAATATATTGTGTCCCATATGAATCATTCTTAAGAAAATAGCTAAATTGGTTGCATTACGTCATTACAATAATCAATTAGTAGTCATATTCGGATCATTTGATAATTAACCATGAAATCTCGAAATTATAATGATCAATATAATTGGTTATTCTAAAATAAATATAATTTTGCATATATTTTTTTAACAAAATATGTTATTTTTAGAATATATGAATAACATAAAATATTGGTTAATAATAATTTTTTTTGCCTGATATAAATTGTTATTTTCGATAAATAATTGGTTACATAACGTACTTTTTAAAATCAAAATCACTAATATATGGCGACCATAAAATATTGATTGTGATAATACTTTGAAAATCATATTTTTGGTTACGTACTGATGATTGCATTAGTTATGAAGAAAATTTTGGGAACCAAATTTATTGGTTTAAAATAATCATTTTGTCAGTAAAAGAAATGAGAATCGGTTGGTTGTTAAATTATTTATGACCAATCATGTATTTCATTGTGACCATTTCAACAGATTGTTTTTCAAACCAATGATGTTAGTAGGCAAAATGATTATTTTGTGAATAATTCTTTTTTTTTTTTTGTCATATAAAGGTCATATTTTGTGACGAGATCACAAATTTGGTAGAAAATGGTTTTTCTAACACGGCAAATGTGACCAAAGGTTCAAGCAAAATATTTTGGTCACGAAATAGCTTCCAACCAAACTGCAACATTTAGTGACTATCACTGATGGTCACGAAAGGCAATTTCTTTAGTAGTCTAATTGTTGTTTGTCGTCTCTCTTATAGGCTCAGGGTTCCCTCGCCCTTGTCTATCTGTTGTTGCTTCAGCTTCACTTTTAGTTGCCGAAGCCGATCCCTTTTCTTAAAATGGGTGACTACATGAAAACAAACAAACAATAATAGTAACCATAGTTTTCGATCGTTTCCCCCAAGTATACAAAAAGACATATTATAGTTATCGTCGACATCAAGAGGGATTGGAAAACAGCCAACAATTTAATGATTCCAAAGTCCAGCCCTTTTGGCATTTCACTATCGTTGTATAGTCCTTTTTCTGGTAATGGACAGTATATGGGAAGGCAAAAGGAAAAAAATAAATAAAAAGAACAGCATTGTTTATATATGTAGGACTTGCCTGCCCTGCAAAATCAAAGCAGAAAGCAAGCTGATGTATAATAACCAGAGAGAAGCAGCAGATCGAGAGTAGGAGAGAAATGGGGAAGAAGGAGGAAGAGGAGGAGACGATCATTCAAGCATGTCCAATGAACTGCGGAGATGAGCTTACAGCTATGCTCAATATTCTGCCTACCAGGCAAGTCCCTCTCTTTACCATAACCATACACAGTCATGACTTTATTTATTTATGTTAAGCAGCCATGTTTACTTATGATCAATTGACAATTATCCTTCGTTTGATTGCCTCCCTATTAGCTTTCAACATATTTATCATCAAGTTATGTAATTTTGTGAGTTTTATATAATGCTATGATCCCTCCAGCCAACGTATGCGTATAGCCGCTTCGGTTGTCTTCTTTGAACATCAAATGTTCTATCCTAGGTCCGAGTCACAGATCGAGTTTCCTGGTGGTAGTGCTTCGTTGCCCTTCTTTGATGACATCGACATTGATTACACTCCTCCCGCCGATGATCCAGCTATACCTCCCTCTCCTCCCGATCAGTCCTCTCCCGTTCCCAGCTGCTCCGACCAGTCTGCTTCATCCTCGACGTCAGCATCTACCACGCCCACTGCCAGCCCTTCGCCTCCATCTGCTCAGCCGACACTTCGGCGCTCACTCAGGGCCACCAAAGGTGTGTCCCCTCCTAAGTTTAATGACTATATGGCCTTGAGTGTGGACACACTGGTTGTTCCTACCACCTTCAAGCAGGCCAGGGGCAATCCGATCTGGGATTCTGCTATGCAAGAAGAGTTTTCTGCCTTAGAGGCTAATCGAACCTGGACTGCTGTGGACCGCCCAAACCCATGTCCTCCTACAATTGGCAGCCGCTGGGTTTATGCCATAAAAGTCCTTCCTGATGGTACGGTAGAGCGCCACAGAGCACGACTTGTTGCATTGGGTTATACGCAGGAGCATGGCATTGATTACACTGAAACTTTTGCTCTGGTTGCTAAAATGTCGACTGTCCGCACCTTACTAGCTGTCGCTGCTTTACAGAATTGGCCCCTCTATCAGCTCGATGTTAAGAACGCTTTCCTTCACGGTGATTTGGACGAAGTCATTTATATGGAGCGTCCGCCGGGTTATACAGTTGGTCGTGAGGATTAGGTGTGTCTTCTTCATCGTTCCCTCTATGGACTCAAACAGGCCCCCCGGGCTTGGTTTGAGAAATTTCACACTACTATTGCTCAGCTGGGGTTTAGTCAGAGCTTGAATGATCCATCACTCTTTACCAAGGTAACTGCTGCTGGTCTTGTCGTCCTTTTATTGTATGTTGATGACATGGTCATTACTGGCACTGATCCGAAGGGCATTACTCAGCTTAAAGATGGGTTGAAACAGGACTTTAGTATCAAGGATCTTGGAACTTTGTCTTACTTTCTAGGGCTGGAGGTTAGCCGCAATGATCAAGGGATTCTGCTGAGTCAACGGAAATACATTGCTGATCTTCTCAGTGATCATCATTTTGATGACTGCAAACCTGTCAAAACACCTATGGAAGTCAATCTGAAGCTACAAAAAGATTCTGGTTCTCGGTTACCTGATGGGTCACAGTATCGAAGCATTGTTGGTAGCTTGATTTATCTTTCTGCTACTCGTCCTGACATTTCATATGCAGTACAGGTTGTTAGTCAGTTTATGACGGCTCCTTGCGTTGATCATCTGGCTGCAGTTCACCGGATCTTACGTTATCTGCAAGGCACCCAGGATGTTGGCATTTTGTTTCCGTCTTCTGGTACTCCTACGCTTTGTGCGTACTCCGACTCTGATTATGCCGGTTGCCTTGATACCCGTCGATCTACTTCTGGGTGGTGTGTTCAGTTTTGGTGGAGCATACATATCCTGGCGCTGCAAGAAGCAGGATAAAGTCTCCAAGTCTTCTACAGAGGCTGAATACCGGGCAATGTCGGAAGTTGGCTCTGAGATTGTATGGCTTAGGCGTCTCCTGAATGATTTTGGAATCACATGCCCAGCACCTATGTCCTTGAGTGTCGACAACACCAGTGCCATTCGCATTGCTACCAATCCAGTGTTACACGATCGTACAAAGCACATTGAAATTCATGTGCACTACATTCGGGATCTTGTTAGTGATGGAACGATTGTTCTAAATCATTTGCAGACAGAAGAGCAGGTAGCTGATCTATTTACCAAGCCGTTTGCTACAAGTCGACATTGGTATCTTGGTAACAAATTGATGCTTCGAGATCAGCATCAATTTGGCGGAGGATGTTGAGGCATCTCCTAATTTGGCTACTGTTAGATATTGTATCATTGTTGTGGAGCCCATTTATTAAAAGCCCACAAATAGTACGTATACGTATTAGCCCATGCAGATGAGAGGTAGACGAGGTGCAGCCTCTCAAACCCTAGGGCTTGTATATTGTATATAGAGTGAGGGACGTGCAGTAGGTGAGTTTAACAACTCTTGATACAATTCAATAATATCAGTAGCCTGAAGAGCATTCAAAGCTCTTCCGTGGATTAGTCCTGGTGATCCAGGGATACCACGTAAACTCCGGTGTCAGTGTTCGTATTATTTCTCCGTTATCCGATCAATCCGTTTCTGTTTGTTAACAGTATAATCCTTTTTCTGGTAATGGACAGTATATCGGAAGGCAAAAGGAAAAATAAATAAATAAAAAGAACAGCATTGTTTATATATGTAGGACTTTCCTGCCCTGCAAAATCAAAGCAGAAAGCAAGCTGATGTATAATAACCAGAGAGAAGCAGCAGATCGAGAGTAGGAGAGAAATGGGGAAGAAGGAGGAAGAGGAGGAGATGAGCTTACAGCTATGCTCAATATTCTGCCTACCAGGCAAGTCCCTCTCTTTACCATAACCATACACAGTCATGACTTTATTTATGTTAAGCAGCCATGTTTACTTATGATCAATTGACAATTATCCTTCGTTTGATTGCCTCCCTATTAGCTTTCAACATATTTATCATCAAGTTATGTAATTTTGTGAGTTTTATATAATATTCAGTCTATTTATAATACGACATTTAAGATTATATCGACGACGACGAGATACAATTCGTCTACCACTATTCCCCCAACCCAATTCGCCATCACTATTTAGCTCTTCGCAACTCCTATTTTCATAGACTCCTCAAATTATCATCCAGCTCTTCATAACTTTCCAACCCCTATTCCCACATTATCCTCAAATTCCAGTCATTATCCTCAAATTATCATCCAGCTCTTCATAACTTCCCAACTATGAATTTTTATGATGCAGAATAGCATTGTGGATACAGCAAAGCAAGCTATGCAAAGAGCCATCGAACACCAGCTGGACTTGAAGTCCTTATTCCCACTAAGCTCCACTTCTTCGATCAGTTACCACATAGCTGATTTCGGGTGTTCCATCGGACCAACAACATTAATGTCCGTACAGAACATCATAGAAGCGGTCAACCACAATAATAACCAAGTATCAACGACCAAACTACCACTAGAGTTCCAAGTCTCATTCAACGACCAAACCAACAATGACTTCAACACCCTCTTCCGCTCTCTACCCGACCACCGCCAAGACAACTACTTCGCCGCCGGCATCCCGGGAAGCTTCTACGGCCGCCTCTTCCCGACGTCCAGCCTCCATTTCGGGTCCATCTCATCTTCCCTCCACTGGATCTCCAGGGTTCCTGGAGAACTAATGGCGGCCGGTCGTAGATATTCCATCCAATGCACGGGACTCGATGAAGATGTCACGAGGGCCTACTCTGGCCAGTTCACTAGAGACATGGAGGCTTTCTTTGATGCCAGAGCGGAAGAGTTGGTGGCCGGCGGCTTGCTGGCGATTTGGGCGTTATGCTTACCCCACGGAACTGTTCTGGCCCAGACCGGTTTGGGTATGATATTTGACCTGCTCGGCGCTAGCCTCGTTGACTTAGCAGAGTTGGTATGTCAAACTTTTTCACTATCTTCGTTATGGATGAGCTTCAAACTTTCACACTGACATTAGATATAATGATATCGTCAAATCCTAATGGGTTTAATTTAATTCATTAATTATTCCCTCCAGGATTTGATTATATATGTTTCACACTCTCTTTTCTTTTCTCCTTCTTCCCCCTCTAAATTTTGGATAGGGGCTCATCTCCGAAGAAAAGCTGAAGAGTTTCTACTTACCAATGTACTACCCCCAAGCTGAAGAGCTGGAAGCTTCCATAACGAAGAAAAGATGTTTCAGCATACGGAAGTTGGTGAAAATGGCTCCTCCCTCGCCGGAGAAGTCCCAAAAGCTGATTCAGACCTCAGCCTCGCAAATAAGAGCCGTCTCGGAGGAAATCATCAAGAAACACTTCATAACTATCACTCCCAAGACTGTGGAATTGATCTTTGAGCGTCTGAAAGAGAAGTTGGCTGAGAATATGGATGCCATTACTAGCCCGACCACTTTGCACCATCTTGAAGTGTTCATCTTGGCAAAGCGTCTTTGACTTCTCCTTTGCCTTCCCATTGTACTTGGGCTTGCTTCCAGAGTTGTTCCAGTGTTTGTTTTCTCCCTTGTTTGTCTCTTACGTCTAATAATAAAAAATAGGACCTCCTACCATGCATTGAAGTTACTATAACTTGAACATTTTTATCATAGCAGGTTTTACAGTTTGCATTACGTAAATTTATTACGTAACAATTACGCAATGCTTGTTAGTCTGTAACAGTTAACTAGAAGCGTTACGGAAGGTTTCCGTAACAACTTATCATTTTACGTAACACTATGTCAATATTCATTACGTAAACGCATCATGTATTACAAAAGGCTTTTGTAATGACAATTTACAACTATTACATAAAATACACGCTCATTACGTAAAGGTTACGTAACGAAGGTTATCTCTTACGTAACAGTTAAATTTGAAGTTTTACGTAAGACTTCCGTAATGACTTACCACACTACGTAACTTGATTAATATTCATTCCGTAAAAGGACCATCCATTACGTAAGGCTTCCGTAATGACACTTTACAACTGTTACGTAAAGTATGCATCTATTACGTAAAGGTTACGTAACGATAGTTATTTCTTACGTAACAGTTAAATTAGAAGCGAAAGAGTAAATATAAAGGTTACATAACGATAGTTATTTCTTACGTAATAGTAAATATAAATAGAGTAAAGTAATTTATTTGGTAATTTTATGATTTTAAAAGTAAAGGGAAATTTAGGTGTTTTCAACTTTTTTGGGAATATAAAGAGGAAGAAAATTTGGTGCTTTGTATTTTTTTAGAAAAGAAACAAGATGGAAATTTTGTGGGTTTGATTTGTGAGAAGAGAAAAAAGTGGAAAAGTTTGGTTCCTTTGATTATGAAAAGAGAAATAGAAAGGAAATTTTGTGTTTTCAACTTTTAAAGAAGGAAGGAAGAGAGAAATTTAGTTCTTTCAATTTTATGGAAGAGAAAAAGGAGGAAAAATTGATTGTTTCTAATTTATGGAAAGAGTAAGAAGGAGGAAAATTTTAGTATTTTCTTTTTTTTTGTGAAAAGAAAGAAGAAAACAAATTTAGTGGTTTCAACTTTTTGAGTTTTGAACATTTTAGCTTTTAAAATATGAATCTTTATGTTTTATATGGAGGACATGACTAATTAACTATATTATGCTCTTATATGGAATGACTATTTTACTATACTAGATTTGAAAACTGATAGTAAGTTATCTCATCTTCAATATTATCACTCAAATTATGTCAAATGCATGTTATTTTACATTATAAATCATATACTTAATTACTTATAGATCATATGCTAAGGGTGTAAGTTTGACCCAAAAAACCCACTAGCTCGTCCCGACCCGTCACGTCCCTGAGTGTCGGGATGAGCCAGTTTGTCTATAGGGTCAGTTTAGGTACGGGTCAGGACGGGTCGGGTCAATTTAGGGAAATGTCATTTTTTTACCCTGTGGCCCTTAGCAACAACAAATATCCCATACCACATTGGACCTTTTTGTAAAATTTCACAAAGTTTAGGTACTTATTGCAAAAATAAAAAAATTTGGGTACGAAAATGTAATTTTACCATCAAAATTTAAGGACTTATTTGTAAAAAAAATAAACTTTAGGTACTAAATTGTAAGAAAAAATAATTTTGGGTACCAAAACATAATTTGCAAAAAAGTAGTGTGTAAATTAGGATCAACCCACTGACCCTAACCGTCCCGACCCGTCCCATCTCTTGAGGATCAGATAGGGTAAAAAAGGAGACAGAGATGGGACAGGAACGGGTCAGGCAATTTTCAGCCCTAAATATGCATTAGAGTATAACAAAGATCCCTCCATGTTTTGGAAATCAAAATTTGAATTTCACTTATAATTAATAGTAGCAAAATAATAAGACATAATAACCTATGGTTAGCGTATAAGGTATATGATATAAGACCTGGCAATCGGGTAAAGTTGGGTAATTTTGGGTTGGTTCCTCCGGGTATTGGTCGGCTCATGTTGAGTTGTCTGATTTTGGGTCAAATATTGACCCAACCCATTCGGTTTTGGATCGAGTTACAGGTCATTTCGGGTTACGAGCGCTCTCAGAAAACATATCAAACATGTTTCATATTTTCTTAAGAGATACAAATTTCACATATCCATGACAATTAACACATATCAATTAACATATTCTAAAATCCTCTCATGCTAATGAAATGAAATACAAATTGCAAATCGTCAAAAAAACATCACAAGAGCAATACTAATACAAGAAACACATGATATTTGATTATCTTTAAACTCCAAACATGTCATTAGAATCCTTGTGAATTTTTTAAACATCTTACCAATTTATGAGTGATTTTATCATTTTAGGATTGATATATAAAATTGAAAGGGTTTAATGGATCGATCCGCTAACCCACCCAACCCGACCCAAAAATTCAAGGGTTAACTATAGTAGCAAATCATAACTTGTAAGGCTATATGGTTAGGTTATAAGGTATATGGTTTAGGATATATCAAATATCCATTTTTAATATATGTTTTGAAAATCAAAGTCTGAATTTCACTTTAAATCAACTATAACAACAAAATTGTAACTCATAATGATATATGGTTAGAGTATTAGGTTATATGGTTTAGGGTATAGGATATATAATTAGGGTTTAGGTAACTAGTTCGTGAAGCGGGAGCGTAAGAGCGTCTATACTACAAGAATTTAATAAAGAGAGCGTGATTATTATATTATGTTAATTATATTTTTATAATTATCAATACTATTAATATCAAAATAGTAGGTAACATAATAATGAATGAAATATATATAAGAAGTAATGGTAGAAAGGCCGGAACCTTTTACCAATTTTTTATTTTTGTTAATAATCAATTCATTTGGAAAAATTTACCATTTATCTCTAATTGTGATTATTGATTAGAACAAATAATTAAGAAAATTAATAACATAAATTTCCACTTATTTAATTCTTTCTTTTTCCATTTTTCACTTACTTTTTCCCCTCATCTCTCACCCCCCTCCCCCCCTCAAATCTAGAATTTCTTATCTCCCTTTTCCAACTCTTTTCCCGGAGCGCCCAGAGGAGCAAAGATAAAGGTCTGTTTTCTTTTTCTTTTGATGATCTAACTCTATGCTTGTAGATTTCTTCTATGCAATCGCCCTCACTTCCACCAACCACATCCTCTCCTCGACTACGCCAATCGATCGGCAGCCTTATCTCCTTCTAGAAGTATGACGACGCCTAGAAGATGTTGCGCTCTAACAATAATTGAAATCCTAAGGCTTGATTTTTTCATTGGTTCACTTTGGTTTATATACGATAGACATTGCAGAAGAAAACAAGAGTGCAAACCAGGTACACTTTGTTGGTTTGCTTGAAAAGGAAACAAAGACGGACTTGGCAATAAAGCAAACAAACCTAAAAAGAAGTTGAACAGAACGACAACGTTTCCCATAAACGCTGCGCATTGACAAGTTTGAACTTCATTCTTCTTCCTCGTTGGTGGGTGAAGGATCAACAGTAATATTGACATCAAAAGGGGATTTGAAACCCCTTGCTGTTACCCCCCCCCCCCCCCCCCCCCCCCCCCCCCCCCCGCCCTCTCGGCAAGCTGGTGGGCAGAGGTTACGCACACCAAGTTTGGAGAGGAGAAATCAAAAGGGAGCTGGTGATCATGGCTTGGTGAACAGATTAGCTAACTGGTGGGAATTGGAAACATGAAGAAGTTTGATGGTCTTGTTGATCAATTTCTCACGAACAAGGGGTGGCAATCCAACTCTATATGCTTCGTTCTTTTATGGAATGTAGGATTCTGAGCAATGTAAATAGCAATCTGATTATCATAGAAAAGTGTTGCAAGTTGTTGATGTGGTACCAATCACGGAGTAAATAAAGAAGCCACTGAATCTCACAAGAGGTGAAAGCAAGAGCTCGATACTCTGCCTCACATGAAGAACGCGAGATTGTCTTTTGTTTTTTGCATTTCCAAGAGACAAGAGCATCGCCAAGATAGATGGCATAGAGCCTTTGGTGGGAAAGAAAAGTCCTGATGCAGGAGCTGATTTGAAGTATCTTATAATCCTCTGAACTACCTTGAAATGAAGAACACAGGGATTAGCCATATATTGACTAAGTTGCTGAGTAGCGTAGCTTATGTCTGGCCTTGTAGTAGTTAAATAAATGAGCTTCCCAACAAGTGTTCTATAGAATTCAGGATCATTATAAGGTGAGGAAGAATCATTGGAAAATGCAGGGGATTTTTCCAATAATAACATCTATTAAAAAAAAATTACAAAAATAACACCATTTTTATCAAACCGCACCCTCCAGGTGCCTTTTATGTATAAACCGCACCTTTGAGGTGCGTTTTAGTCCACCTCGGACTGAAAACCGCACCTTGGAGTTGCGGTCAGTGTTTGGTGGGCATCGGCCATGCGGACCGCATGATGAACGCATGATGAAGAAGCGATCTAGTGGCGGACCGCTTGCCAGGTCAGCGATCCTTGCCACGGATCGAAGATCGCTGCGCCGAGGTGCGGTCAAGCATCGGAGAGCGTAAAATGCGTCGGGAAGGTGCGGTTTTGACTGGGGCAAAATTATCAGACCACCCCTGAAGGGTGCGGTCTGATGGGTATAAATACCCCCTCTCATTTTTTCACACCACAACCGTTCTCCTCTCTCTCTCTCTCTCTCTCTCTCTCTCTCTCTCTCTCTCTCTCTCTCTAGAATTAGCTCTATAACCCCTCCACTCCCCTCCCAAAAGCCTAGGAAATAGTGGTCTGTTGGTTGCGGCTAAGTCCGATCTGCCATCAGAAAACATTTCTTTGGTTTTTCCCTCAAAACCCGCCCGCCGAATTTCTGTCCGACAACGAGTCTCTGTCTGACTTTCGCGAGAAAATGGACGAGTGGTTAAAAGAAGAGGGAGTTTATTATGATGAATTTCAAGCGGTACATAATCATTATTTTGGTCAATTTTTGTTTTTGTTATAAGCTTTTTAATTAATATATGTACTAACCTTGTTGTTATTCTCTCGTAGGTTGGGGACGACGTGAATATATACAACCAACGGTACTATTTGGATCAAGGGCCTATTGATCCGATCGACTTG